TTTTTGAAAATAAGCTAATGTAATATAAAATTTTAACCAATTAAAGTTTATAAGTTATAGATTAATATGTATCAAAATTTTCAATTTTTTAAAAAATGTCTCAGAACCCCATTTTCTTAGCAAACTTCCTATATATATTATTTTTATAATATATAATAAAATTTAAATATAAAACCATAAATTATTTTTATGTAAATAATAATAAAATTATTCTATTACTCTATTAGTTATTTTGTTAATATTAACCTTATTTAAAAATCATGTTGTTTAAGATTTTTTAAATAGGAAAAAATTAAGTTTATTTTACTATTAAATTTATATTACTGATAATTTAATATATTTTAGATACTATTTCTTAAATAATAATAATTTTTATTTAAAATTAATCAGAATTTTCAATTAATTATTATGCAAAATTCTATATTAAAACTTACAATTTTTTTTTAATTTTTAGTTAAATACATTATAAAATTTATTATAAATTTATTATTTTTAAATAAAATTTAATTTTTAATAATTAAATATTAAATATATACAAATTTTTAACTTTAAATTTATAATTTTTTTATATTTAAATATATAAATAAATGTTTTAATTATAAATTTATATATTTTGTAAAGTTTTTTAATAATATAAAAATAAATAAAAATTAAAAATTTTGGCTTTTATATAAAGAAAATACTTTTATTAAAAAATTTTCTAAAATTTGATTTTAAATTAATGCAAAAAATCATTAATTAATGTAATTTTTTTTGATTTTAATTAAAAAACATTATAAATTTTATTATAAATTATTATTATTAATTTATTAACTAATTTTAATATATTTAAAATTAACTTTAAAGTATAAGTAAAATTCCTTTTAAATTTGAAAGGAAAACCATTAAAGGGATAACAGTTCCCATTATCTAGTAAATATATATTAATATATATTAAAATTAATTCTATTTATTATATTAATTTTATAGAAATATGTATTAATAAAAGTTTATATAAAAGTAAATTTTTTACTAAAATTTTATTATAATTATTAGGAATGTTAAATGGTCCTAAACGATCCTAAAAATCCCAATAAATTTACCAATTTTAGAGAAGATTTTTATTTTATTGGGATTATATTTTATTTTCTAATAATAATTTATTAATTGAATATTTATTACAAATAAATATTAAACTTAGTAGAAACCCAGAATCTTAATTTTTGAAACTTAGGACCCTAAGAATTGGATTTCACCTTGATGGACCCATGATAATTATCGATTTCAAAGTTCATATTTCTTTTAAAAGTTATTCATAAAAATTTAATATTACAAATTTTTTATCAAGAGTTACTTATTATAGATAAGCAATTAGACTTTTCTATAACTCGTAATTTCTATATTGTTACAATAATTTGGAACTGTTTAATATTTCAGAATTATTTAGGATGGAACCTTTGCAATATAAAGGAGGAAAACTGCCGGAAAAATAAATGTTAAATTTGAACATATTTTGGTAAAGGCCCTATGACCGGTGACACAAGATGTCCCGTTCAAAAATTGAGTACCAAAAACACCAATGATTTATTTTATTACTATATACCATTTTTATTATGTGATTTAAATTCGTTTTAAGATCCGATACGTGTGTAAATGTATAAAAAAAGAAATATTCCATGAAATGTATCTACCATGAAAATTCTATATTTAAGCCTAGAAATAATCGCGTCTCTTTTTCAGATACTTTCAGATTTAGAGACGTTTAAATAGTAAAAATATTTTCAAAATATTTTCAAATATGTTTGTCTTCAAGAGAGGTTTGTGTTAATGACTTTAAATATAATATTTTAATATATTTACATATAATTTATTGTATTTCAACAAAAAAATTTTCCTTTTTTCCTTTTTCAGATAGTCGTAAAGAACGCGTTGCTTTCGATAAAGTAATTATACAATACTTTAGAAAGAATAATATAACATCATTTGGAAAGTTCCTTTAAATTAATTCCATTCTATATTTTAGATTACTGCGCGTATTAATAAATTATGTTACGGTCTTGATTCCAACTTTGTTGACCCTGTATCTGTAACTCAAAAGGTATGTTGATAAATAAAGGTGCTTTGATTTCATATATAAATTTTTAGGTCAAAATTAAAACAATTACTTTTTTAAAAATATTATCAAGGTTATTTCGGGAGTTTATCAGGGCGTTAGTACCGTTGAATTAGATAATTTAGCCGCAGAAACGGCAGCGTATATGACTACTAAGCATCCGGATTATGCTATTCTTGCTGCTCGTATTGCTGTTTCTAATCTTCATAAAGAGACTAAAAAGGTCTTCTCCAATGTTATTGAAGATCTTTATAATTATATAAATCCAAAAACGGGAAATAGCGCATCAATGATTTCTGAAAATACATATAATATTGTGATGAAAAACTCTGAAAAGCTTAATTCGGCTATCATTTATGATAGAGATTATAAATACAATTATTTTGGATTTAAAACACTTGAACGATCTTACCTTTTGCGAATAGATGGGAAAATTGCAGAACGACCTCAACATATGCTTATGCGCGTATCAGTTGGAATTCATGGTGATGATATCAAAGCCGCTATTGAAACTTATAATTTAATGTCAGAAAAATACTTTACACATGCCTCTCCAACTTTATTTAATGCCGGTACACCACGACCGCAACTTTCAAGTTGTTTTCTATTAACCATGAAGGATGATTCAATAGAGGGAATCTATGATACTTTGAAAACGTGTGCAATGATTTCTAAAACTGCAGGTGGTATTGGTTTGAACATTCACAATATTCGTGCGTCTGGATCTTACATTGCCGGAACAAATGGTTATTCAAATGGAATCATCCCTATGTTACGTGTATACAATAATACCGCCAGATATGTTGATCAAGGAGGAAATAAACGTCCAGGAGCGTTTGCTGTTTATTTAGAATTATGGCATCCCGATATCTTTGATTTTATGGACTTAAAAAAAAACACTGGAAAAGAAGAAGTTCGTGCCAGAGATTTATTTTACGCACTTTGGATTTCTGACCTTTTTATGAAAAGGGTGGAATCTGATGAAGATTGGAGTTTGTTTGATCCATCTGAAGCTCCTGGATTAATGGATGTTTGGGGCGATGAATTCGAAGTTAGTATAATTGTTTGTAATTGTTTGGTGTATTGTAATAAAAAAAAAATATATTTATTTAATGGCTTACTTTTATTTTTTTAGAAATTATATGAATCATATGAGCGTCAGGGACTTGCAAGAAAACGTGTTAAAGCTCAGAAAATATGGACGGCAATTCTAGAATCCCAAATTGAAACGGGTACACCATACATGCTCTATAAAGATTCTTGTAATCGTAAATCTAATCAGCAAAATCTTGGCACAATTAAATGTAGTAATTTATGTACTGAGATTGTTGAATATTCAAGTCCAGACGAAGTTGCCGTGTGTAATTTAGCTAGTATAGCATTATCCATGTTTGTTGATAATAGAAAATCGTATGATTTCAAGCGTTTACATGAGGTATTTCAGAATTTTTTTTTCATCATAAATCGTATTATTTTTATTTTTATTTTTATTAACTTTATTGAATTAGGTCACAAAAGTTATAACTCGAAACCTTAATAAGATCATTGATATAAATTACTATCCTGTTGAAGAAGCTCGCAGATCCAATTTCCGCCATCGACCAATTGGTATTGGTGTCCAAGGTATTATTATATTTCCCTGAAAATTTTCTTTCTATTTAAAAATCATTTTAAAACTTCTTTATTGTATTTAAAAGGATTAGCGGATGCTTTCCTTGCTATGCGACTTCCATTCGATTCTTTACATGCCAAGGAACTGAACAGACAAATATTTGAAACAATGTACCATGGTGCTTTAGAAGCATCATGTGAATTAGCAGAACAACTCGGTCCATATGAAACTTATCAAGGATCACCAGTTTCTAAAGGCATTTTACAGTATGACATGTGGAATGTTGTGCCTACTGATTTATGGAATTGGGATTTATTGAAACAAAAAATAGCAAAATATGGTGTACGAAATTCATTATTACTGGCACCTATGCCTACTGCTTCTACATCACAAATATTGGGTTTCAATGAATGTTTTGAACCTTATACGAGTAACATATACACACGACGTGTACTTGCTGGCGAATTTCAAATTGTAAATCCTTGGTTATTAAAAGATTTGGTGGAATTAGGATTATGGAATGATCAAATGAAAAATAGAATAATAGCGGATAATGGAAGTATTCAGAAAGGTAATTTATATGATTGCTTCTGTTATTTATATATATATATAGAAGGATTATTAATTATAAAACTAAATATTAGCTTCCGGGATTCCGGAAGAACTTAAAGCTTTATATAAAACTACGTGGGAAATATCGCAGAAAGTGATTATTGATATGGCGGCAGATCGTGGCGCCTTTATTGATCAATCTCAGAGTCTTAACATACATATTGCAGAACCAACTATCGCAAAATTAACCAGCATGCATTTGTAAGTATAAATTATTATAAGAATCGATATTAAGTAATAATTCACTCACATAAATTACTTAATAAACAAGTTATGGATGGAAGAGCGGTCTGAAAACAGGTATGTACTATCTAAGAACTAAGCCTGCTGCGGATGCCATCAAAGTAAGTGATTTATACTTTAATCATCATCTAATAATAGTATGTTGATTTGGAGTGATATTAATTTAATATCTGTGTTATTTAAGTTTACTGTTGATCAATTATCTTTAAAAGAAGCTGAAATCACCAAATGAGTTCTTTTAAGATTTTATGGAAGGCAAACCTTTTTATAATAAGAATGGGATGTAATCTATTGAATACTACGGGATATTTTTTTTTCCTTCGATTGTAAACTAAGATTTTTTATAATCAAAAAAAAAAAGTACTTAAACGAGATTTACAACATAAAAAAAAAAATATATTTGTTTATAAGAAATGATAAAAATGTTTATGAGTATTCTTTTAAAAAATTGTGAATTATGCTTTTCCATGATTACTTCGAGGCGAATAATCATTGCGCTTTTCTGAACTAGAAATATCACGTCTTGATTTAAATTCATTACGATAACGAGAACGAGCATTATCTTCCTGATAGTGTCTTGATGAAGGTGGTGAAACGCTACGAAAAGATTTCCTTTCCGAATGTGTAGAAAATTCTTTTGAACTATGATTTCTTTGCGATCGACGTGGAGGGGAAAAACTATCATCTCGATATCTTCGAAAAGGAGATACACTGTCCCGATTTCTTCTTGAATGCGGTGATAAACTTCCATCACGATTTCTTCTAGAAGAAGGAATACTACCCTCTCGGTTTCTCCTTCGTGTAGGAGATCCTTGACGCCGTCTTGGGGATCTAGGCATTCTGTGATCTCTAAAATTATTATGTCTTTCAGCATCTCTATCAGAATGATCATCATTATTTCTTCTTGAAAATTTTTCATTTGTATCGCCATCTACTTGTTTACTAATACGACGCGATGAATTCAAACGTTTGCCACGAGTATCTCGACTACTATTACTTTCTGTATTGCTACTTTCGCTTCCACTTTCGCTTACACTTGAGTTCCTTTTTCGACTCTTTTCGCGAATTTTATTTTTATAATCATCTTTATTTCTGTATAACATTAATTTCAATTACATATTAGACAAAAATATTTAATTTTTATGAAAAAAAAAAATAAAAGATTATTTTTCAATTATGGCTTAAAGTATAAATGTACTTACATTTCTTCACGTCGATGATAATATTTTCTATCATCATCTTTTTCTACTAGATGGCTCTCTTTCTCACGTTGAAGATTGCGTAACTTTTCTTTCTTCTTTTTGTCTTCCTCCCATTTTTCCTCCCATTTCTTGTCTCGTTCTATTAATTCACGCTCTTTCTCTTCTAATCTTTTTTGACGATCTTCAAGTTCTTTGTCTCGTTGAGCAACTCTTTCACGTTTTTTCGATTCCTGTAATTCACGATCAAATGCTGCACCCTCAACATAATATTGCGAATTAATACCTAAAGCTCTCATCATTTTTTCATTCTCCGTGATTTTAGCCTGAGAAAGATGATGAGTCTGATATTCTTGAATGCTAATAAAAATATATTTAAGATTTTATTAATATTAAATAATGATAATAAGGTTTACATTTTTTAAAAAAATACAAACTTTTTGTTATCCTTCACAATATCAATAGATCTAAGCATCGATTGACGAAACGAATTGACTTCTTTTTCAATTTCTTCCTCAGTTTTCCTGTGAGAGAATTTATTGGAATAAGAAACCTTTTTTAAAAATAAATAATTATATAAATAAAAATAAATAAATACTTTTAATATTTACCCGGCCTCTTCAAGTTCCTGTTGAAAAGTTAAACACTTTAATTCCACTTGTCGCTTTCTTTCGTGATCTAATATTTCTTGATTAGGTTTACGATTAGCGAAAGCAAAAGAATTCGCTTTGGCTTCATCTAAAGATTCGATTTGAATATCTCTGCGAGGTTTGATATTAGCTTGATTACGAACTACGTAACCATTTGTCCCAGACCCGCGAGGAGTAGAAAGTCCTACGTTGCCGTACATATTTGCGTTTTGAACAAGAGAATTGAATAATTTTAAACAGTATTTATATATAAACCACGTGGTTAGGTGAAAAATTTTATGACCTGATCATAACATGATCGAATCTATGGATAAACATTTCTCCAGTATCATTATTTTTTTTGTTATTCGTGTTACGAATATAGTATGAAAGGAGATCCTTCTAAATGTAGAACATGTCAATATAAATAATTCAAATGCAAAAAAATAATATTTTTAATTGGAATTTTCCAATCATCAAATCATGTAAATTAATAACCATCGAATTTGTACATGACAATTTTTTTGGAGGGTCATTATTAAAGAGCGTTCTTATTCTATCAGTCCTTCCTTTTTTAGTAAAAAAAAATTAGTTATCAAAATTGGCATCTTGATATGTTTGTGTAACATTCGTCAGAGAAAAATAATCATTTCGAGCAAAAAAACTTTTGATTTTGCATATAACAATCAATACTTTTCAATTAAATGATATGCACTTTTATAATAAATTTTTTTGAATCATTTTAAAGTTTATGGGTAATTTCACCAGATTTTTAAATTTTATAATAAAAAAATCTTTATTAATAATCTTTTATGATAATTTACATAACGATAAGTTTTGATTTAGAATGGAGGTAAAATGATGATGATAGAGGTGAAAACAAATAGAAAAACAAAGAAACAAAAAAAAAAAATCAAAATCAAAATACCAAAGAAAGTGAAGATAAATGAAATGGAGGCAAAATGTTGGCAAGTAAATAATAGTTAGAAATAAATAAATAAAGAAACAAAAAAAAAAAATCAAAATGAATACATATAATTACAAAACTGAAAGAAAAAAAAGGTGAAAATAAAAATTAATCTTATAAAATGAAATAATAAATCAATTAAAGAAAATACCAAAAAAACAAATATATGATAAAATCCATATAATTGAAAATAATATAATTAAATTAAAATATAAAAAGAAGTCTAATAATGAAAATATTAACTGAAAGATAAAGTTAAAGTAAAAATTAACTGAAAAAAACTAAAACTTACCAATTACTAAATTGAGAAATTTATCATTATTTCTAAAACACAAATTTTTTTTATTTATAACATTTTTTATAATTTTTTTCAATCATACTTTATACTATTTTATAATTTTAATAGATTATTTCAAATGTTTTTTATATGCAAATGGATAATCAATTACTTCATATTATATTTTATTAATTAAAAAATAAAACATTATCTTTAAAAATTTAAGTTTTAAAATAAAAAATCTTATATATTATTAAAAATAAACCCATTATTTTATTAAAAGAAATTTTAAGTTTAAAATAAAATTATTAAAAATTATATTTTAAAAATAAAACATTAAACAATATAAATTATAACATAAATAAATCAAAAAAATGTCATATTAATAGGTTATATCTGATTTTGAAATTTAATAAAGTATTTTATGCTTATATTTTAGACAATTATAATATAAGTTATTTGCTATTAAAATAAGTATAAAATATTATCCCTTCAATGATTTGCTTCCAAATTTAAAAACAATTTTACTTACTAATTAAGTTAATTTTAGATATATTATAAATTTATAATGTATTTTAACTAAAATTATAAAAATTGTAAGTTTTTATATAGAATTTTATATAATAAAAATCTTGAATGAAAATCATTAACATTTAAGGGATAAATAATTATAATTAGTAAAATATGATTTAATGATGAATTTATAATAATTTATATAATATTAATAATTTTTCTATTTTTAAATTTTTATAAATACTTAGCTTACTGTACATATTAATAAACATTTCTTTTCTTTTGTGACTGTTAAATAAAATAAAAAAAGAATGATAATATTTTATCTTAAAAAAAAAATATAAAAAAATATTATTTTAGTTATACTATACACAATATATCTCTATCAAAAAAGCCTGTATCATATTATAAGATATCATCATTGATTTAGTATTGGCTAAGCAAATTGGTATTTGAAGTTCAAAGTAAATAGACCTGTCTTTTGTTACTTGCTATTATTGATAAGTGTTGATGACTTTAGAATATGATGATGATGACATGGATACCTTCTTCACAATTGCTATCATTAATCATAAAGGTGAGAATGATAATGGTGATGGTGTTTGTGATATCTAAATATAAGTAATATTTAATTATTACTAATATTTAATATTTTTTAATTTATACTTAAAGGTTTAAATTTACACTTGTTTCATAATTATATCTTTAATAAGTGAAAAAAAACTTACAAGTCTATTAAAATTTTTCACAGTAAAGATGAAACATATTGGCGAGAAAAAAAAAGAGTTATAATACGATGATGATAGTGCTATTTTAAATTCATTTTATTATTGAACAGGACGTAATTGAAAAAATAAATATTTGAATAAAAAAATTTTTATTTACATTTACAAATGCATATATTTAATATGCAAATTTAAGCGCTTATTTTCTTTTTTGCATTTTATTATAATTTCTATAATTATTATTATTATTATTATTATTATTATTATTAAAATATTAATTTTGCTTTATTTTTTTTTTTTTTTTTTTTTTATTATTATTATTATTATTATTATTATTATAACCCAACCCAACCGATCGGCATATAACTAATTTTTCATATAAAACAAAATATATGCCGATCGATCAGTCGGTTGGGTAGGATTTTCCACCGCAGCGACTTCTTCTGACGATATCTTCGAAATCGCCGTATCGTCTACGTGATGCCATTCGCTATTTTTACGAAGTATATCAGCCGTGTAATGTCCACCAGTGGCCGACTTCCCGTGATGGTAAACGACTATAAAAAAATTTTTTGGATCATACATCTACATCTCAAACAAACATGATAAATACTTTTTAATAATAATAACTTACCTCCGAAAAGTCTGTACTCTACTGCTTTTTTAGGGCGGCGTGTGGGGGCAAAGATTTCTTTATAAAATAAATAATACAATAAAAAAATAAGCAAATTTTTTGTTATAAAGACTCTTATCACAAAAATTTAAAAATAATTACCGGGCTGAATCGACAATGTTGTCGAGTACCCAATATGTTTACTGAGTTTTTGCGCCCCACCAACGTTGTCATAAACGAACCTTTTCAAGTGGAGAGTTAATATCGGTGGAAGTTCCTCAATATAGAGGCGCTTTGTAGCTCGTACCTATACAGTGTAAAAAAGCAAATTTTTTTTTTAAAAAAAAAATACTATACTAGATAACGTATCAGAATATTAACATACTAAGCCATTTTTGGGTGAGTAGAAGTCATCAACGTATTCTGGGACAGTTAAGTTTTTTAGAGCGTCCCCAATTGTTTTTACATCATCCGGCTAAAAATAATTAATTAATTTAATCTTTATGTGTATACTAACAAATAATAATTAAATTTACCTGTATATCAAGCTGCAGCGACTGATATGGTTGCAGCGTGATAGAATCAGCGCTTCCAGGACATATTAATTCTGATCTGAATTTACCACCGAATATGTGACTAATAGGCGTTTCTTCAATATCGGTCTAAATTTAGAAGTAAATAATTAGTAAACTAGGTTTATGAGTTAGAATTAATCATATTTACTTTAAATTGCTTATCGACATACCGTCCTGGTAAAACTTGTTCGATTCTTAGGACCAACTTCCATCCAACCATCATCTTTAACAGTTTTATCGAATTGTTGAATAAGGGGGTTATCTTTTTTTAGAGCTATCATCAATTGTTATATAACTTTTAATTTTCGAATTATAACAATAGAACTAAACGTTATTTAGATAAATTTACCTGCTAAGAACTCTTCATGTAGCCCATCAAGGAGGAACCCAAGAAATTCTTCGGCATCTTCCTGTCGTCCTTTCATGGAATCGAAACGCTTGAGTCCTCTTAATGCATCATATACATATTCAGGGGACAACGCTTCTCCAAATTCTATAATAAAAAAGGTATTATAAATTATTTATAATTTAACAATTAATATAATTCAATTCGTATGACGTACAATTATACATGATAAAATATACCTTCGACACCTTCGTGACGTTTAGTTTGCTTGTATTCGTTAATAAACATCACCCTTTAAATATTATAAAAATAATGGAGTTATTCATAGATGAAAATAACAATAATTGTTAAGTTTATTTATAGACAAACTTACAAAGAATCGACAAGAGGCGTCTTACTATTGAAATTATGAGCGACTTCTTTATCAATGAGTGCGAGCAGATTACAGAACGGTGGACAATGTGAGAGTGTTTGTAATATCTATATTAAAAATATTAAGACGCTTAGAACATTGAAAACATCCATAATCACTTTTATAAAAAAAGCTCGAACATACCGCGTTCATAAAACACATATTACCATTATTTATGAGTCCTCGCGGACCCATTGTTACATCATCGAAAGATGGATTGAAATCCTTCAGTAAACCTATTAATATAAGAATAGCATTATTATCATACAAATGAAGTAAATAATTGTGTAATCCTTAAATTGAGGTGTTTTATTACCTGCTAATCCTCCTACTTTAGGCCTTCCATTCGTTAACGGAACAGCAAGTTTTTGTGGCTTTTGTGATTTGATATGAGAATCTGGAGGCTTCGTGTTTGATTTAGAATTATCATTTAAAACGGTAACAGGCTTTGAATTTTCGACTTTCGGGAAAAGGTCGGCCCAACGCTTTGTTGACGATTTTTTAGGTGAAATTACACCATTTGAATTTGGTTGACTTTCGGGTGAATTTTCATTTGTCGATCGCTCGCTCGATGATTGATTATTTGAAGATAAAATTACTGAATTGTTTTTCTGTGCAACTTGTGATAATCCATTATTTAGATCATTATTTTTATTGTTTTCGGAAACTTTAGTCGGCGATTTTCCATTAATATGAACATTTGATGTGGAATGCTTTACGGCCTTGATCGTTTGCTGATTGACTGTGGAAATAAAATGAAAAGCAGTATTTGGTGACGTTATTTGCATGGCTTTCATGGCCGCTTGTGAAAATGATATATTATGTTTATTACTACATTCTTGTGGCTTTGAGAGTGTAGATTTTATTTTTACACCGCCTAATTTGAAATTTGATGTTTAGAATAATTATAAAATTAGGGAAATTTTTTAACATAAGTTTTAAGTTTGAATTACCTCTCCTTAGAGGTGGAAACCCTATGTTAAATGGCACCTGAAAAAAATAAAAATTATTTAAGTTAGAAAAGTTGGCTATAAAAAGACTTAGAAAAAGCGCAATCAGATAAGGTATATGCCTTTAATGCCAAGTTTTTCTGTGTGTTATTTGTGATTGCTTCAATAGCTTCTCTTCCTGAGAACGACCCGTATATCGGCTTAAATTCCTTCTAACAAGTAAGTATTTTAACATATGTAACAAAATTACTCAAACATTTGATCAAAAGCAATGAAAAAACTAACCTTTTGTGAATGCATGTTTGTTTGTGCGATGTTTTCTTTTTAGGTGAAAGAGCAAATAGCTTTAAGTTTATTAGAGATTTTGAAATTTAGAAAGGCTCTAATTCAGAGCGTTACATTAAAAAAATCAAATTTAATAGATAATTGTACGATGCGAGTGGTAAACCTTTTACTTATTTATACTTTATATTTTACCTGAATTATTCAAAAAACTTTGACAAAATTTTAAAAGTTTGGTGAGATCGTTATTTCAAAAGTATTGAAAAACTGTAATTGTTGGTTAGGAACTTAAAAGGATTGATTTGATGGAACAATTTCTCTCTTCGTAATCACATAATCCCGTGATCGCCTACCAAATCCCAATTCTTTAATTGTCACATGACTCTTTAATGATTATCGAAATCGTGCATGATTTTTAACGCTTTTATGTGATAACTATAGCTATAGGTTAAGAACTAGGTATTTCTAATAAAAATATGTGGCTACATCCATCATTATTACACGTTTAAAAATATCATTGCAGAATTAACATAAAGAATAGACGATTCGATCTACAAATTCAATTTTCAAAGCGTAATAACGTTGTGGATATTTAAATTGATCTTTACATCGGGAACAAATCTGTAAAAAAACGAAATTCAGAAACAAGCATAATGCAGCATCTCTTAATTCCGTAAAATGTTGTTTTATAGAACTTGATGCATGTCCTCGCGAAGAAGAAAAGCTACATGCTCCATAATTAATGACAACTGAATTATTATAAAATCCTTTTTATTTCTAATAATTTTTCGGCATATATGTAATAGATAATAATCCCTTTCGCTTTTCAATAAATTATCAAATTTAATCCGTCGAAATCTTTTTACACCATAATAAGTATGAAGTTCATTAATCTTGGTGAATATATTGTAAATGACTAATATACTGAGCTTTAGAGGAGATGCGAGAAGTAGGAAGGTGGTTGAGAAAATTGTTAAATAATAACGATAATGTTAATGTTGATTTTCGTACTAATTTGTAATAACCCTTTTATGATCATCAACAGTTATCTCGTCAAATAATAATATCTCATTTTTTATTTAATGAAATAAAAATCTGCTTCAATATGACATCGGCCATATTTTTGTATATTAAAAATATGAGCCCAAATAAATCTCCAAATTGTGTTTTTGAAATTCTTATAATTATATTATTACTAACACACATTTTTTTGATATACTTGTCATTATATCCAAATTTTCTTACTGATCTCTAAAACCAAATTACAACCTTATACCAATGATCTTAAATACTCAATTCACAGAAATGTTAAATAGATATTGCAGTCATTAGGTAATAATAATCTTTCAACAGATCTTTCTCAGATCATACAAAAATCAAATGGAAAACTTAAAACTTCTTTCTTATGTATTTTCAGAAACTGTTATACTAGAATTTCCCTACAATTAATATCATGCATTATCTATTATAAATATGCATATGTAGGTATCATAATAACAATAATAAGCCATATTATTTTTATTACAGATTCTATAAGAACTAGAAAGTTCTATATTATTAATAAAATCATATATCTTCTCAAATAAAAGCAAAAGTCTTATTTCCCGATAACACCTATAGGTAGTATCATGACTGAGATAGGATATATCCTTGAACAGAATAGTCTGAAACAATCTAGGATCTTGGACAAAGGATTGCTAATAACTGAAACATCTAAAACATTAATATATATTGTATTAAAAAATTGATTATTAGAATTTTTTATTATAATTAAATAGTATAATAATATTATTTATTTATTTATTATTAAATGGTAATTCTAATTCCTTAAAAAGAATCTAATTTTCATTTAGCATTAGGATTAATTGCAGAATAGATAATATTATTAATATTATTAATCGTTGTTTCATTTAATTCATCAATTATATCATTTTCTTTATCTTTCTTATTTTAAAATTTAACATTTCTTTTTTTAACATTTTTGTATATCCTTATAAATACTTATCAAATTCTTTTATATAGTTAAATTATTATTTTCTTCTTTATCTTCTTTATTTTCAGGATTTTTATTAAGATCTTTATTATTATTTATTTAATCTTTAATATCAGTTATAATATTAAATACAGTTAAAATATAAGAAGAATTAGAATAAACATAATGATTTCATGTAATATCTGCTTTTAATTTGCTTATATTTAAAGTTTTTGATTACTAAAAATAATAGATTTATAGTTAAATATTAAAATATTATATATATATATATATTACATTTAAATATTATAGATAAAATAAAATAAAATAAATACCATTAAATGATTTTACTGATTTTATTGCAAAAAAAACCTAAAGACACTCAATAGAAACTGTATTTTCACAAATTCTAAACAATCTGCAAACAACAAAACCCAATTTATTTATAAAATTTTTTGTAAAACACCAATACAGTCAAACCTTAATATAATAAACTCTTGATATAGTGAATTTTTAAATCAAATATATTAAATATACTTTATTATAGTGAACCAGCCAATTTAATTCTTTAAAAAATTTATTATTAGCTTATAATAAAGTTAAGATTCAGATTCTAGAGGTTGTTATATCAAGAGTTTATTATATCTTTAAATATTGTCATTAAATTGCTTATATGTATTATCATTAAATAAATATTTTTTCATATAAAATTCATCAAATTCATGTATAATACAAATTGTTTTTTTTTCAAATCATGTTTGATAATAATAGTAAATAATAAAGATAGGTATCATAATTAAAAAATGATGCAATTGAGCTGCAACTTGTGACGTAATTAAATTTCCTTATAGCACAATTAAGTTATATATCAATTGAAATTTGAAAATAATTATGGAGACTATCTTTAATAAATAAGCTACTGACTAAAAGTAAAATAATTAATATTTAAATGTTTTTATAATTATTTCAAGATAGATTAAAGAATGTATAATTTGAAATAATTGTATTTTATCTTGTTGAAACATATTAAATAATTTACAATAAGGATATATATTAATCAAAATCATTTCTTTTAATTCTAATACCTTTCAGTAAATATCCAGCTGGTTTAGTCATGTGATTTGACAAAAAATCAGCTTAAGTTACAAAAATTAATAATCATTTATTACATTATATATAATTTAGCATTATTTTAGTATTATGACCTTTTAGCAAACATTTAGCTGATTTAGTTATACTATTTGGTAAAAATTCAGTTTGAGTTTAAAATTCAGAATAAAAATTATAACAAATTTATTGTTATTTATTACATTATACATAATTTAGTATTATTTCGATATTAAATCTTTAATAAACATTCAAATGATTTAGTACAGCAAACTTTCAGTTATTCTTTAAAATTTAACATGAAAATTGATTATTATTTGTTATATTGTATATAATTCAATATTATATTAGTCAGGTTTTGATTTATTATTAAAAATTTATATTATAAATAAAAGTTAACAAATATAAAATTTAAGATTTATTGGATCTATAGCTAAATATTCAATGGCATTTGGATAAGTAAAAAATTTATATTTTACTAGTATAAATTGATAAAAAATATTTTGTATTGGAATAATACTATTATGATTATTAGAAAAAGATTTATTTTTTCATAATTCAATATTACAAGTTTTTTCATCATTATTGATACTAAAATAATATTGAACTTTATATGTTTTTGTTAGCTTATATTACTAAATAAATGCTAAATTATATTCTGTTGATCTATTCTCAAATTGATTATATGCTTAAAATTTTATTGGATTTTATTAACAAAATAATAAATTTGATTATCAAATATTATACAATTCACTAAAATAAAAAATTTTTTTTATGTTAAAATGATATAATCAAGCCAAACACCTTTGAACTAACTTTACATTAGCTGAATTTGTTTATTGTAATATGATTAAGTATAATCAAATCTTCAGAATGATGCCTTGAAATTATGTGTTTCATATGTTGTTGTATAATATTTAAATATTAAATCAAGTATCAACTTAGGCAATATTATATTGAATTTAGAACTTAACATTTTTACAGAAAATAATTTGCATCCAATAATAATCAATTCTGTATGTTTCTCAAATTAAACTAAAGTTGTTTCATTTCATTAGATAAATATTCATTATCTTCTAATAATGAATCAATAATAGTTTGATTATTAAGCAAATCTAAATCTTTTGTTTAAATATTTACTGAACTACTAATTTTTCTAATACAATTATCATTTATTAATCTGCATATTATTTCTGGCTCAATTTGTCTATAACTACTTGATAATAAACCTAAATAATATTAACATATGGATGGTGTGCTATTGAAATTAAGATACGGATTATATGATTTACTATGTCTTATGTTTTAATTTTAATAGCATACCACCCATATTTCATTATTTATTAGCATATTTCATTATAAAAATCAGCAAAAAAAAGAAACTACAATTACCAAGTATCCCATTTATGTGTTCAAATGAGAAACACCAGAAAGTATATAATATGCTGAAATCATATGAGCATTTTTGTAAATAAAGCGAAAAATGAAGATTCAGTATTATTTTATCACGTTCATAATGTTTCTTAATTAACTTTTCATGAGCTTTTTGTACTGAATCAAGTTCCAGAATTTGACTTGTTAGAATTGAACAAACTCTAACAAAATGTGTTAGAATCATTCAGTCAATTGCTGATAAATGTTTCCAAAGTGTTGTATTTGCATAAATTGTATAAAATGTTCACCATTGATCTGCTGTAAAGTTGAAAAAACCTTCTTATCAGTTGATTTTTCAAGGGATTTTACCCAAATCAGCTGGAACTTGAATCTGATTCATATTTCTTTGGATACTTTTAAGAGCATCTGAAGTTAAAATCTTCTCATCAATCCAAATTTGTTTAACTATCCATTTCACTATGCTTAAAAATAGGCAATACATTGGGTCGACCGTTAAAAATCGAATTGGGTCAAAGTATGGTAAACAAAGTAATTCAAACCATCTAATGCTAGTATGCTTTACAAATCACTTTCTGTTAGCATCTGAATTACATCTTCACCAGCCAAGTAAATGTTGTGAGTAATCACAGGGAGTAAATCATTCGTTTATGTTACTCATTCCCATCATGAAAATTTTTTAAGTGTAAACCTTCGCAAGATTTACATAGCCTTCGTAACCCTTTGTAACCTTTTTCACGACTGGAGCATTAGAAACGGCCAACACTTCAATATACGACGGATTCGACCAATTTGTGTAATGACTTATTAGATGTAGATAGATACAATTTTTCTTTTACTTATTTTTTACTTTTTCACACTAAATGTTGACGATTTTACTTTTCTGCCGAATCTTCGAGTCATTACTAATCTTCGTGGGGGTTATTTAAAGATAAGCATAAGGGATCCATTGATCTTTATTGAAACGTTTCCGCAATTACGTATTATTGATGTCTTTTTCTACAATTTAAAACAGTTACTCGACTCTTGTCCAGAGTTCAAATTATATCAAATAGCTATTCTTTGCGTTTCTGTATTTTTTTTTCGGAAATTCCAACGAAGCTAAGAAATAGAGATAAATCCTGCATTCTCCGAATTATAAAAATTCTATTTATTCAAAAAAAAGCTTAGTCATGCCAACAAGTAATATGATTAAAAAAAGATCTGATTTTCACATTGGAATGGAGCGGAGCATCTAAATGAAATCATGTTGGGTTCTAACTTTGTACCTTATACGAAAACCCGTAAATATACATGTATATTTGTTTGCTGGTGATTTTCAAACACTTTAACCAACTTTTTTTTATATAGTCAATAATGCCAGTGTTATTTTTGGCGAAACTGTTTCTGTCGGAAAAGATGACTTTGGGTCTTTTATTAACGAGCGTCACACTTTTATTGATAAGTCAATGCTTATAAAAGAGTTTATTGAGAGTTCAGATTCTGTATCTCTTATTCTTCGTCCTCGCCGATTTGGCAAGTCAACAAACTTATCCATGTTACGCCGCTTCTTTGAAATATCGCATTCCCAAGAAGAAATTTTTATCTCTAAAAAACGAAAACTTTTCGAAAAGTTGAAAATTTCGACCGAAACAAAAATTATGGAAAATCATTTGGCTAAATATCCTGTTATTCATATCTCACTTAAGGTTTGTATTGATATTAAATTTCATTTACAATTATTATTAATATTATTTTTATTATTATTATTTTTATCTTGAACCATCTATGTGGCCTAAATTTATTTATGATAATCTTACATCCATTACGAAATAGGATTTAACTGCTGACAATTGGGATGGTATGATTATAAACTTAAGAACATTGGTAGCTGATCTTTACGGAGAATACCGTTACATTATCGACACGTTATATCCAGATGAAAAGAACAATTATCAACGAATCCTTGCTGAAGATCAAACATATCCAAGTTTAGCATTTGCTTTAAAGCAACTTTCTAAATATTTACAACGATACCATAAAAAACAATGTATTGTACTAATTGATGAATACGATTCCCCGATGGAATGTGCCTATAATAAAGGATATTTTAAAATTGCAAATGAATTTTTTAAGAATATGTTTTCATCATTATTGAAGGTAAGATATATTTATGACCATTTATTATTATTGCTGTTATTTTTTAATACACATTTCTGCTTCGAATTTTTTTTTTAGAGCAACGATACCAATGTCATGAAAGCAATGTTGGTTGGTGTATTGCAAATCGCGAAATCAGGATTCTTATCAGGGCTAAATAATATTCAGGCTTACCCTTTGCATAGTCCATTACCTATTTATACGGATAAATTTGGATTCACATCTGATGAAGTAAAGCTATTGTTAACAATGCGTGAAGAATTGCAGATTGAGGATATCCAAAAATGGTATGACGGCTATTCCGCAGGTGGCTATGTACACTTATATAATCCATGGTCCATTATCAATATGATTTCAAAAGGCACTTTATGTCCTTATTGGACTAGTACGGGAAGCACAAAAACGGTGAAGAATTTCCTATGGCGAGCAAGCTCTTCGTTCAAGAAAGCTGTCGAGGAGTTGCTAAAAGGGGAAGCTATTGCTGATATTAAGATTCAAAACGATCTTGAATATTTATATTTGGATCAATATCAAGATACTACTATCTGGACGCTCTTGTACTATGGAGGATACCTTACTATGAACCTTGAGAAAAAATTAATTATACCAAATTTAGAGGTTCGTACAGAATGGATTAATTGGGTGACCGATATGTCATTTTTTAAAGGCGGGAAAACGGTCATATCAATGTTAGAGCATCTTCTACTTGGAAATCTGGATTCATTTAAAAATGAATTTGAATGCATGGTCATAGATACGCTTTCGTTTTATGATGTAGGGGGGTCTAAATCTGGAAAAAATGCAGAATACGTTTATCATGCCTTTTGCTTAGGAATGTTCGTTGTTGCTCGTGATCGAGGCTATAACGTTGATTCTAATCGTGAGGCTGGTACAGGAAGATATGATGTAAGGATAGTTCCAAAATCAGGTGCTATAAGTGATGCAGCTGTTGTCATTGAATTTAAGGTTGTTGATGATATGAAAAACCTTCAAAATATTGCTCAAAAGGCATTAAATCAAATTGAAGAGAAGCAGTATAGAGCAACTTTACAAAATGAAGTCAGAAAAGTTTTGGAAATAGGAATTGCGTTCAAAGGGAAAATGTCTTGTGTATTGGGACGCTCATTGCGTAGAAATGAGAATAATACATGGAGCGAATCTTCACAATGATTATAAAGTTAAAAAAATTTAAATTGAATTTTTTTCTCTTTTTTTTTTGCATTATCCAATGATTACTTAAGAATAGCATTGTTATATTACTATCTACCGGACATAGTTGCTTGGATACTTTTGTTAGATTGATGAATAATTTACAGTAATCATATGCTGTTTAAAATTAATAAAAAACGGATTTCCAATTTATGATATCGAGATTTATTTACTACATTTATTTGAAGTTCAAAATTACTCATGACACCTTTTAAAACATCAATTTAAAAATATATCTAACATTAATCCCTCTTAACGTTTAGCAGAAAACATGTTCACAAAAAAAAGGCTGGAATTGCTCGTTGACTTATTAATTTCATCTTTGAGAAATTTCTAAGATATTAAATTAATATTATCTTCTTTTTTCTTTTTGATTAACCTTATTAATCGTAAAATAAAGTATTAAAAATTGCAATAAGATCCAATTAAACCTCTAATCGAAAACCTGTAAAATAACCATTAACATTTATTTTTTTGCATATGTGATCTTTAGTTTGTGATCTGGTGCTATCAGATGGTTGGATAAAGCTTCTTTTGCCATCATGGCTTGAGGTTCCGAGTCGAATTCAACAAACGCTATACCCTTCGCCGGGTGAATCGAGCGAACTTCTTTAAAGCCGGAATATCTATAATCATTTAACATGTATTCGATTAATAACTAAAACGATAAAATTATAATAAAAAAAGGGGAGAGATTAAATAACATACTGTCCAAATAATGAGGTGAGAATAAGTTGTGTTATATCGTTTGGCATATTCTGCAAGAAAAGAATATTATTTGGAGGAAGATATTCATCCGGAATGTTGCCAAGTGCCGGTACTTGATGTCCAAAATGATACATTGATGCTATTACAGAAAAAAAAATGATTTTGATAATAAATTCTTAACCCGATTTATAAAAGAATTGGAAAATAACATTACCTCCAGGTATATTTGATGATCCAGGATGTAATGAAGAATTACTACTTGATTTGAATTTCTTTGTCGGAGGTTCTTTAGCACGCTTTTCTAAATTATATATATATGTATAGCATTGATTATAAATGATTATTTTTTAATAATATCAACCACAAAATCCAAATACCTTTGGCTTCCAATCTTTGACGCTTATGCTCTTCAATACTTCCATCGATAATAGCGATTGCATCCGATTTTGTTCTCGCGTATTGAATAACCTAAAAATGATAGGAATCGACAACGAATTTCCAAGAGTTCAAGCAGTGAATAAATAATTTTTTTACCATCGGCTTTCCCTGTAAGGCAAATCCTTGGACTCCTTTAATTGCATTTATGGCGCTTTCTTGCTCTTTAAATACAACAAATGCCTGGCCGCGCATTCTAAAGTTATCCTGAACGATAATGTCCAAGATTTCACCATACTGTTCAAAAATAGTTGATAAGGCTTTTCTTAAAGCTAATAAAAAATATATATACATATGATATATATCGTTAGACCTCAAACTTATTGTTTTGAGCATATTTAACAAATCTTTAATAGTACCTGGTAACTTGATTTTTTCATTAAGGTTGTTAATGTAAATTGTGTTGTTTGGTGTTGTGCATGGTGATTGTTTCGGTGTTGGTGGTGGTATTACAGGTGTAGAAAGTGCTGATTGTGGAATGTTGAACGCAGTTGGTGGCGCATAAACTGAAGGATTCGCTCCTGTAGGCGGTGCAGACATTGTTGATTCAACCGCGTAAAAGCAATTCAAGAAAAAAATTTCAAGGGTTTAAATTACTAAGTTACACGAATTATGAATTCGGAAAAATCAGAGATCGATTTTTAGACCGATATTTAGACCGGTCTTAGGATCGATTTCATTAAATGTTAAAAGTTCGAAATCAAATGCGAATACCGCTGATCCAGTAAAGAACAGTATAAGAACTTTTCGCGCTAATAGCAAAAGTAAATAACATACTTTTTTATTATAATTTGTCAATTAATTGATTTCTCCTACAAGTGAAGTTTCAGCCTTTTTAAATATAATAAAGTTATTTTGTACAATATTTATATACATGTTAATTTAAAGACGCATTTGATGCGATTATCTTATTTTAGAGAGGTTTACATATTTTCTAAATAATCAACTTAATATAATTTAATCATTTTTAAAATTAAAAATATAAAAATATAAAATTGTCAAAAGCGAGAGTTAATCCGTAATGTGATTTTACTCAAAAATTGATTCGATATATGATTGGTTCCTAAACGACGGTTTACCCCGTTCCCCGGATGAGTCGATCCATCAATCAGCTGTTTTCAGATCTAGCCTATTTCTAATTTTTGGTTTTTGCTGCTAGATCTGAAATGGGAAAGGCTTGTATTTGTAAAACCTTGCGATTGGTAAAATTCATGGAAATTTCATTGATATCCACGATTTATTTTTCATGTCGTTGATACTTTGGCAGTCAAAGCAATTGTTCAAGTCATGTTTATTTTCACAGAATTTGACAAAAAAATACTCGTTATTTCACGTAAAAAAACATTTTGCTTCTAGCTCTAAATTTGAGAGATATGATTCGAAATTGTCGCCCTTTCGGTTGGCAATTATCGGAAGTGGACCAGCAGGTTTTTATACAGCGTATCGCGTATTAAAAGACCATCCATCAACTTTAGTAGATATGTATGAATCTCTCCCCATTCCCTTTGGGCTGGTTCGGTACGGTGTAGCTCCAGATCACCCAGAAGTTAAGGTATTTATTGAGTTTACAAAAATTTTCAATTCTTAAATAGGTATCTATGGGTAACCTATTTTAATAGAACGTTCAAAATAGGTTCGATGAAGTTGCGCAAGATTCGCGTTATTCTTTCATTGGTAATGTTAAGTATGGTGAAGACCTCACTATAGCAGATCTAAAATTACATTATGATGCAATTGGTTTTTCATATGGAGCGAGTCAAGAAAGATCTCTTGGTATTAAAAACGAAGATGATCCCATTAGAAATATTTTTTCTGCACGAGCTTTCGTTGGTTGGTATAACGGTTTACCACAATATCGAGACTTGGAACCTGATTTGACTTGCACTGACACTGCCGTGGTTATTGGGCAGGGGAATGTAGCTTTAGATGTTGGCAGGATATTATTGACAGATGTTATGGAATTAAGCAAAACTGATATCACAGAATATGCCTTAGAAACTCTCAGGAAAAGTAAAATTAGAAATGTTATCATTGTAGGAAGAAGAGGACCTTTACAGGTTGGGAAATGATCTAACTTTCAAAAATAATATGTTGAAATAATATGTATGATCTTCGCTTACCATTCCTCATGAAAATATAGGTTTCTTTTACTGCCAAAGAGCTCCGTGAAATGATGAGTTTACCAAATACGAAATTTCATACAGATTTCGAGTTATTAAAAAATGAACTCTCTGCAAATGTTGATCTAATATCGAAATATCGTCCCTTGAAACGATTAATGCAAATATTAGAAAAAGGAATGTCTAATACTATTGGTGACAAATCATGGTCCCTTAAATTTTTACGAAGTCCAGATGAATTCCTCGCACATGACAATGATGATCCTATTCGACGCAAATATGTACGTGCTATCAATTTCCATATCAATAAATTAGAAGGCCCACCAGAAAAGCGAGTTGCCATTCCTACTGGAGAAATGGAAGAATTGGAAAGTGGTTTAGTTCTTAAAAGTGTAGGATATAAAAGCGTACCCATAAAAGGTTTACCTTTTGATGAGAAAAAAGGTCTTGTCCCTAATTACAAAGGAAAGATCTTGGATAATGATAATAATGAGGTATGTTTGATTTTGTTTAGAATATATCTATTTTTTTGTCGCACATGTAATTAATTATATTTGTCTTATTTCAATTATTATTATTATTCATGATGTGTAAAAGCAACCGGGGTTATACGTCGCTGGATGGTTAAAAAGTGGTCCTCAAGGCGTAATTGCAACAACCATGTATGATGCGTTTGAGACCGCAGAAGCTATTGTATCAGACATTAAGCAAAATAAACCAATGCTTTCAAAAGATATTCAAACTACTAAACAAGGGTCAAAAGCGGTAATTCCAATTCTTCATCAACGCGGTATAAGAACAATTTCATACGAGGATTGGAAAAAGATCGAAAAGGAGGAGAACGAGGCAGGAAAAGTGAAAAATAAACCGAGAGAAAAATTTGGAAGAATTGAGGATGTATTATGCACTTTAAATACATTGAAATGATCAATACGTTGGCGAGATTATATTTTATTAATCGAAGCGAAGCGAAGGACTATGCATCGCGAAGTCCGCCAGCTCAAAAATTGAGTCAATACGTGATTGGTCCCTTTCGTTACACTTGTGCTAAATCAAAAAATAAAAAAATTTCATTTCACATGATCGGTTGATCTTCACCGGTTATTGTTTACAAATAAGGTATAAACCATGCAAATATATATAAATATACTGTTCAAAAATATTATTAAACCTTCCTCCTACCTTCCTAACAATGGATAAAAAAATATTACAAATTCCCGCAGATAAAATCAAATTTGTCAGAGGAATTAAGAATAATAATATTCGTCATATAGAGTAATATTTTATTTATAATTAGAATGAATTTTTGTGGTTATTATTATTCTTCTTAAATTTGTGCATGTTTCTATTTTTTTGACGAATTTTTTATTTTTAATTCCTTATACCAGAAATAAATCTGGTGCCAAGATCAGGTTAAATACAGTTAATCAACAATCTTCAGCGGTTATCACTGGCGATGAAAGGCAATGTACAATTGCCGTGAATCTAATTAAAAAAAATATTGATAAGGCGTTCGTTCTTCCCACAATCGGATTTAACATTTTGGAATTAAATAATGTAACAGATGTTAATAAAGCTAAATTCCAATTTGTTAAATTTGAAGGTGATGATGTTAATGCTCATTCAAGAAATAGAATTCAATATTTCGTTAAATCCATAAAAGAGACCGAAGATGATTCCGATAAGCAAGAGTTATCAGAGATCGATAATCTCATAGATTCATTTAATCAAAATATTGATATCGATATTTATTCGGATTCTGGTTTCACCGTATCTGATAAATTAGATGATTGTTTAAGTAAAATTTTTTCCCAGCTTTCAAAAGCCGACCCAACCGATCTTGAAAGAAAAGAGATACGTTTAAATCTCTTTTTCGGTCGTCAATTATATTCTGACATTCGTGAAGAAATTTTTAGTGCCAAAGATTGGACCAAGTTTAGGCGTGGTTCGCAGGGAAGAGGGATTCGTACATCGTTTCAACATCATGCACCTCAAATTTTGGAAAAAATTGCTATACTTCAAGATAAGTTCGGGTTTGAAGAAAATAAGAAAATGAAAATCAATTCTGAAGACAAAGGGAGCATCACGATATATTTTAATCAAGATTCGACGGGAAGAAAGTTTAAATTACATTGGCTCCCTGAAGAAAACTTGTGGAAAATAACCAAATTCGTGCGTGATACCAATCGACTTGGTAAAAATATTTATTCATTCAAATTAATGAAACATCAATGTTATATTTTATTGATCATCTTTATTATTTAGCGATTTTGGATATAATCTCTGGTACCGAAGCTCCGGATTGTAGGTTCTTACTAAAGACTTCTTATGATATACCTATCGCGTATAAGGTCACAAGAATTATTAATGAAATACAATCCAAGGGACCTTTAGAATTGAATGATGGAATGTGGTTTCGAATTAAAGATTTTGATAAGAAACTTGAAAGGGTTGAAATACGTCAAACTGTATCAAAAAGGCGATTCTTGTGAGTTATATAATTGATTATGATCTTTTTTTTTTTTTGTTTTATATCTAAGGAAAAAATTTTCTTTCTGATGAAATGTATTAGCAACCGAAATTTCCAAATCTCTATCGTTTCTATTAAACAAGAATCATCAAAAGGTGAAATATCAACTCAACAAACGATCAACCTTAAAAATCGAAGTTGGAGACCTGTAGAAAATATAGATAATAATCCGAGATTGCATTATGATGAAGAAGAAATAAGCAGTACAATCTGTGAAACCATCGAATATGCTAGGGAAATAATGAAAGTCTTAGCATAAATTATTGGTCGGTAATATTTGTAAAGAACATTAGAACATTTGAACATTTGAACGTTTGTATATAAATATAGTAAAAATATTATTGTATTATTTAGTATTAAATACATTTATATATATATATATAGCTTATCCACACTGTTTGTATAGCACATACAACTTTTATCATTCTGTATTTTTTTTTTTTCGTTTAAAAAAAAATAAATAAAAATGTCTTTGGAAGCTATTCTTGAGTCAGCTAACCTTTTGTTGCAAACAACATTGAGTTCCAATATCGGCTTCGAAGAAATATTATGTAAAGAAAAATTTATTTTTACTTATAAAGAGGAGGAAATATTAAAATTAGCAACGCGTTTGGAAAAATTAAAAAAGCAAAGACGCGACTTACAATATACTTTACAGAGAAAAAGTTATTTAGAAAATTTTACTTCGGGACCAGACGAAGCAAGTGAAAAAACTTCTTTGGAAGTACGAATTAAGGAGAAAAAAAAAACTTTGGCTAATTTAAATACGAAAAATCAGGTTAAGAACAAAGCGGTGGAAAAGTAAATGTACTTTTTTTTTTTTTTTTTCATTTCTTTATAAATAACGAGATTAATTTTTTAAATTTCGTATTTACAAGTAACGAAACAGGACGAGTCATATTAGCTTCTCTATTCTCTGAAGGAAATAAAACATCATCACATGAAAGTTGTCTCAATGAAATGATAAATAAGCGTGACCTTCTCGTATCTGAGTTCCTGAAATCACATCAAGAACTTCTTAAAGTACAAAATGATTTGACAAATCTCAAGAAAGCTGTCATTGGTTCGTGATTTAAATTTTTTTAAAATAATACAAAAGTTAATTGTTTATCCGAATATTTCGAATATAGATTTTAATGATTCATTATTTATTAGCTCGACATAGAGAAAATAGAACAGTGATGACGAAAATCAACGAATTGATTTCCAATCCAATTGAAAAATATTACGAGAATTCAGGAAATAATCGAGCTAAAACGTTGCAATTAAAAAGTTTAACGAATGATTTGGCGAATGCAAGATCAAAACGAGAAATTGCACGAAATATTTTACAAGGATTAATCCTTGAAAGTGGAGTGGATTGGGTGAATGACGAACATTTATTGAAGTTGATGCTTATGATTGGAGAGGAAATTTAGGTAAGAAAAAACGGAAATCATGTGATATTTTATTATAATAAAACAAATAAATTCCATGTCGATCCTATTATAAGCATTAAGTCTTAAAATGGAAAAAAGTCACGCAAAAAAATTTCGATCTACGTGTTATTTGAAATACAAAAATTCAAAAATTTCACCCAATTTTTTATATAATTTTTTTTTTTTTATCTAGTCTTGGTTTCAATTCTAAATTATGAAAGCCTTTTCAAATTTAATAATTACGCGTCAATATGCGTTTAGATCCAGCATAAGAAACTCATTTTCAATACGAACTTTCAAAAAAGGGTTAAGTTCAAACGCAAACGCTGTAGTAAAGGAAATACCAAGTAAGAACAATATTTCAAGACCACCGCTTATAATCTCCGTGTTAACTCAATATAAAAATTTTTAACTATTGACAGAGAGATTTAATGAAGCCGGAGTAGAAATGTTACCGGAATGGCTTTATGAAAAGGTTTTCCCAGATATTTCTTCCAATATTCCTGTACATAATGGATCAGTTGAAATTGCGTTAAAACATTTGGAAGATCAAGGTTTAAAAGGAAAAGAAGCTGAAAATTTCCTCAATGTTCCTGAATTCGATATACCAACGTTATGCGGCAATTCAATAGCGGAACATTTTTGGAATATTGGAGAACAAAAATCAAAAAAATATAGAGAACTAGCAATGGAATTCGTTGACTCAAATCTCTTAAATATGCCATCAGATAAAGATTTGTTAATTAAACCTGGGTGGACTCGCTTTGAAAGTAATAAAGAGCCTGAATCAGTAGAATTTCCACGTGAAAAGGTATTATGTTTCGATGTCGAGACGTTATTAAGTAGCAGCAATTATGGTATTATTGCATGTGCTGCATCTTCATGTGCTTGGTATACCTGGATATCGCCACGTTTAATTGAATTTAAAGAAAAAAAATTAGGAGAACGATTCAAAAAAAATGGTGAGTGTAATAAAAATAAGAAGAAATCCCTAAAACGAAGTTTGGGGGAATGATGGGACAAGATCGAAAAGGCAAAGCTACTAAGAAAAATTTAAATGGTACTATTATAAATAACAGATATTGAAATAAATGACATTTCAGATCAGAATAATCAAAATTCGGCAAATGATGAAAGTATTATTGAGAAAGACAATAAAAAAAAACCTACTGCTAGAAAAAAGAAAGGGGATAAGGGTCTTAAGAGCTCAAAACAGGAGAATGGAGTAGATAACTTTAAAGTTCAAGAAATTGGTAGTTTAATACCCATGGGAAAAGACAAGATAATAATTGGTCATAATGTTTCATTTGATCGTGCAAGGATCAAAGAAGAATACCATTATAAATCATCTGGTAATAAATTTATAGATACAATGGCATTGCATATTGCTGTTAGTGGATTATGCAGACAACAGCGTCCCACTTGGGCTAAATATAAAAAAGCCGAAGAGAATGGTGACGTTTATTCTGTTAATAATGAAAAAGATTTTCAGTCAATATATGAAGTTAGTTCAATGAACAACCTTCATGATGTTTACAATCTACATTGTAAAAAGAAAATAGATAAGTCGATTAGTAAAAAATTGTTTATTGATGGAACCTTAGAAGAAATCGTTATCGAAGAAAATTTGCGACGATCATTGATCTATTGTGCCAATGATGTTTTGGCAACATTCGAAGTTTTCACAAAAGTATTACCGCGATTTTTAAAGTTATGTCCACATCCCGTATCATTTGCAGGGATGCTTGAAATGGGAAATATGTTTCTGACTACTTCCAAGGATTGGGATGATTATGTACAAAATGCAGAAAAAGTCTACCAACATCAACGTGATGCTGTTGAAACCAGTTTACAACAATTAGCTTATGATGCGGTTGAATTAGGTAAAAAGGATCCTGACTTGATAAAAAAAGATCCATGGTTAAGTCAATTAGACTGGTCATTTCCTTCATCACGCGCGAAAAAACTTCCGGGATATCCAAATTGGTATCGTAACATTTATTGCAATAAGACAAGTAAAGTTAAAATCACTCCTAAATCACGTATAGCGCCTTTATTATTGAGATTAAAATGGCAGGATTTTCCCCTATATTATTCAAGAAAATATGGGTGGATGTATCGGGTACCAAGGGATGTTGAACATCAAACAACTGCAGAAGAATGTAATTTTTCACAAGATGATTTATCGGATAACGAAGTAGAAGCGAATGAGGAAAAGAAAGGCCCCTCAAAGAAAAAATCAAATACGAAATCAGAGGATGACATAAAGGAGATAGATGAGCTATTTGTTAATGATATCAATGGGAGATATTATCGTATTCCACATAAAGATGGCTTAGAAGCGAAATGTTTATTACCTCTTGCAAAACATTATATGGTTTTATTTGAGAAAGGTGTTTTATCTTCTGAACATGAAGTGGCGAAAGATGCTCTTACTATGAATGCTAATTGTTCTTATTGGATAAGTGCCCGAGAAAGGATACGGAAACAAATGGTCATATATGAGGATCATCCAAATATTATGGATAATATGGGATTCGAATCTGATAAAGAAAAGAAAATTGGAATGATCTTACCACAAACAGTAACGATGGGAACCATTACTCGTCGTGCCGTTGAAAATACATGGATGACAGCTAGTAACGCAAAAAAGGATAGGATAGGGTCAGAGCTTAAAGCTATAATCCAAGCCCCCAAAGGATATAAGATTATTGGAGCTGATGTGGATTCTGAGGAGTTATGGATAGCAAGTTTAATAGGAGATTCACAATTTGGATTTCATGGTTCAACTGCAATGGGTTGGATGACATTGCAAGGAGATAAAGCTGCCGGTACAGATCAACATTCCAGAACCGCGAATATTTTAAAGATTTCAAGATCCGATGCAAAAGTATTTAATTATGGCCGAATTTATGGAGCCGGTTTGAAATTTGCGGTTCAATTATTAAAACAATTCAACGAGACTATGGGAGATTCTCAAGCAAAAGAGCGTGCAACTGATTTATATAATCACACGAAAGGTAAAAAATTTTATGGCAAAGGTAAGATCAAAGCTCCCTATGAGAATTTTTGGTACGGAGGAAGTGAAAGTTATATGTTTAACAGGCTAGAAGAGATTGCAACAGATAACAATCCTCAAACACCAGCGTTAAAATGTGGTATAACTGAAGCGTTAAAAGGTTGTATTGTTAATAAGAATTATATGACATCTCGAGTAAATTGGGTGGTTCAATCTTCTGGAGTCGATTATCTTCATTTACTTTTGGTATCTATGCAGTATCTGATGGAAAAGTATAAAATCGAAGGAAGATTTATGTTATCGGTTCATGACGAAGTTAGGTTTCTCGTTAAAGAAACCGACAGTTATCGAGCAGCGTTAGCTCTTCAAATAAGCAATTTTTGGACACGCGCTATGTTTAGTTACATGTTGGGAATAAATGATTTACCTATGGTAAGTAAATAAATGGATGATAACAGTTTAAATTAAAAAATTTTGATTTTAAGAATTTATTCAAGTCTCATTTTATTATTATTCCTTTTTATCCCCCTTAGTCAGTCGCATTCTTTTCGGCGGTTGACATTGATCATGTCCTGCGTAAGGAAGCTGAATCGAGTTGTAGAACAATTTCTTATGATACCGAAATCGAGGATGGAAAAAGTCTAACAATACATGAACTTCTTAAGCACAAAAGTTCACTGCTACCACCCGATGAAAACAATCAGAATAACGGCAACGATTATAGTGAACTTGATAATGACCAAGACAATTATAATAAAAATGCGTCTTATTTACTGACGCCGTGTAAAACTGCTAAAGATAAAGAATATTTAACAATTCAAGGACTATCAAATGAAAAGGATGTCGAGAAGTTAATATTGAAGATCCACCCTAGGTACTTATATAATATAAAATAACTGTTCTTCATATGACAATAACAATAAAAAAGTCTCTAATATATTTAATATGTTAGTTTCAGTAGATTAAAGCTCAAAAATGGACAAGGGGTAAATATTGTAAATTCCATTTTATGATCGGTATTTTTTTTTTGTATATTTCATGTTGGCATTATTTTCTGTTTCATAATCTATCTTACAAAATCAAATGTAGATTAAATAAAAATTTTTTTTGTTAAAAAATTTATAATTCATAATTTTTGCTATAATTTGAGATTAAAGCAAACACTTACTCCAGGTACATAATCATGGCTTCTGTATACCTCCTTTTCACCTTTTTGTCTTCCATTTTCCCAAATGCTTTGACATTCATTTCTTAGTTTTTGAACATAATCTTGAACGCATGGTCCACGTGTAGTTGACATGAAAAACCGAATGGCGTGCTCTAGCTATTGATTATAAAAAAATATTTTATAACTCCTTTTTATTCTTTAAACAACAAAATGCATAAATTACCACTTACCTTCATTTCATGATATTGTTTATTGTAATAAGCAGGAGATTCCAACGAATAGTTATCAATTGCCTTCCTCAAAGCTTGAGAACAATGACTAAATTGATACAGGCATTGTAAGAATCGATTTTTAATCAATAATATCCTTGTAAATTATAACGGCATTTAACTTTTACCCCGCTGAAAATCTATTATCCACTTGCAAACAGTCTTTCAAACGTCTCTGAAGAATATCATCAACAGCACTAAAACTTTTTCGTTCTTTTCGATCTAAAATTTCTTTCCCAAGTTGTCCAAATAATAACTCTTGTAACGCAATACATCCAGACATCCATTGGCTGACATTAGGGAGCTATTATAAAAATGACAAACAAAGTATTAATCATTACATTGACATAATATTAAATTTAATAATAAATATCATAAATGCACACCTCGCTTGGTGGCATCCCTCGTTTAACAAAATTTCTTGAGTATCCATTAACAGTCCATTTAACCCAACTATGTGCAAATTCTCTCAACAATTTAATTTCAAAATGTTCAGCGCCCCGGGACTCTAATTTTCGTTTTCTTAGTAAATAATCAATATCAATCTTATTCTCTTGAGCTTTAGACATTAAAGGAGTTATTGAATCGGACGATAATAAATTGCCAGTAGAACCACGTGTAATTAGATGTACGAAAAACTGACTGGAAGGGGGAGGAAGAGTAAATAGTTGACGGCTAAAATGAAAATAGGATGAGATACCACCTTTATAAGAAACTTTCTAAATTAAACAATTTGTTTATTATAAATACTAACATACCCGTCGAATGGTGCATGTATATCACTAGTTTGCATAAGGTGACATGCACGAAATAAGAACCGAATACGAGCCTGCAAGGATTCTTTGATCCTTTTAATACTACCTGAAGGTGCCTATTTACACAGTAAAAGCATATTATGTAAATGATATTCACTTTTTTACAACTATTTATTTTAACGTAATTCATTATTTGACCTTATCATGAATAGAATCTGTTTTGTGTCCATCAGTTGAAGAAATAGACAATTGCACCTATTGAAATAAAGTTAGTATATATATATCAAGAAAATACAATGTAATAAAGTATTTTTTAACCTCTTGAAATAAGAAAAGAAGAAAAGGAACACAACGCCCAGGTGCCGTCACACCACCCTGCGCCGTCCACCCTCTTCCACTGTATACACCATTAGAATATGACCCATAAGGGGATGGTATTTCAAAACTCTGCCAGCACAAATTCAAAAAATTGGTTGCATGAGGTAAAATATGTCTTTTAACTGAATGTATTGTTTTGAGAAGTGAGACCATATTTCCATCTAGTTTAGATATTGGTTGCGTGAACTTGAAGATTTCAAACGATGAAAATTATTAATGACTCCGATATTTCATCAAAGTATGAGAACAATAATATACATACCACCACTACGTGAGATAGCATAAACATAAATACGAGCATTCGTAAATAAACGTGTTCGTGTTTCCATATCCAATTTTGAAAATCTTGCTTATTTAATATATACAAATAAATCCCTAATCAATACTACATTACTATAAATTTTAAATTTAATTAAATGTTTACCTCGGTTTCAATTGTTAACCGAGAAGTTTCCCAAAGTTGTAACATGGTTTCGCTTTCATTAACTGAATCGATAAGTAAATACACGATATTCTTGGATGCATCACAATACATCCATAGTCCGCACTATAAAAATTTATTGTAAAAATAAAAATTTTGATACATACAATTAAAATCAATGGTATCCCCTTACATTATTCCCATTTGATATCAACAAAATAGCTCCTTTCGGTCGATTAGAATTAGTTTTTTCATTAGGTATCTGACGATTAAGAAATATAAATAAATATATCACTATTTGATTATAATGATAATAGAAGAAACTTTGCATTGTAAACTTTTAAATACCTGACCAAATACATTCTTTTCTACTATAGCGTTTGCAATTAAATGAAGTTTCGAAGTTGTTTCTGACTGAGAAAATCCAATGAAAGAAACGACAGATACTGGAGCAGCTTCTTGAAGTTTAAAATCTTTAAGGGTATCTGTTCACAAATGTAAATATTTATATATTTTTTTAAAGCCTCTTTTGACTTTTTTTTAAAAAAAAATTAAACGCGAAAATACCTTCTATTTTATTCTTTAAAGTGACAAAGCTTTTACTTTCATCTGAAATTGGTTGTTCTTTTGGGGAGTTTGATGAACTTTTACTTTCTAAAACAACGTCGTCTTCAGTTGAAACTGTTGAAACAGCTGGATGTAATTGCTCTTCCATATGAAGCTATTATCTCGTGTTATAAATTATAAAATAGTAATACGCGAATTTATTAAATTCTGGGCCGTTTTGCCTGACATTGCTTATCTAATAGCAGATCATGTGATATTTAAGGATGTACTTAAATACTTAAATAAGATCTGTTTCTGAATTATTGTTTCTCATACAATTTACAATTAGAACAAAGAAAAATGAATTTTGGATATAACGTTTGAATTATAAGCATTTGTAAGAAGATATACAAAGTAGAATTTTTTTCTTCACAAAATCTTTTTTGTTAAAACTCATCACAAAATAAAGTATAATTTTATTAAGTCAAATTTGAAACTTCATTATTTTTATTATTTTTGTTGTAAATTCTTCGCATCCAAAACAATTAATTGTACTTGTTAGAACTAGATATTTAAAAAAGAACAACATTAACGAGATTTGAGTCACACGATATGTCTGGATAGCGCAGCAGCAACAAATTAATAACTTTCTATGAATCCACACAGTTTAATTAGCAGTTATCAGATTGATATATAAATTAACATTCATTTGTTGAATTAAACTAGGGTATCATATGGAATTGGTGTGATAGTGGTTGGCATATTCTTATCGGTGGAAACAAAATGTGATGTTCGAGGAGCACCTGGCTGTCTTTTAAGGTTAACTTTTTCTATATTCGTAAAGATTATTTATGAGGTAAATGTTAAAAAAAGAAAGAAAGATAAATAAATAAATGTCGGGACTATCCCGAATTTTCCTACCTCCTTTAGCTCTAGCTTCCTTTTTCCTGATCGCATTCTCCTTGACGCGACGTAGGAAATCATCTCTACATTTCGAATGTTTAATATGTTCAACACGAATATTAACCCGCTTTTCAATAAAACGGTTACCAACACGCTTATTAATGATTACACCGACAGCTGATTTTGTTACATTGTAAATGATACCAGTACGTCTGTTGAATAAATAATTAAATTGATAAGTATATTGTAAGAAGAAGAAGAAGAGTTGATCTATCAATATAAAAATAATAAAAAAAACTTACCCATGATAAAATTTATGGGGCATACCCTTTTGGACGGCACCGTTGGCTTTAATGTCAACGATATCGCCGACCTTGTACGTCTTAAGGTAGGTTGAAAGTCTGATAGATCCATGCTCGCGGAATTTACGAGAGAACATATAGCGCGTACGAGCGCGAATACCAAAAGAGTTAGGCATCTTTTATTCTTCTATCGCATTATAAATCGAATTAATTATAATGATCAAATCAGCAACCTTACAAAGATTTGCTGTCTACCAAAAGTAATCAAATTGACAATAGAAAATACCCTTTTGTTTCGAGCAAATGGGATATTGATTTCAACTTACAACCTACAATGGTTTGTTTAATGGAAGAGAGGGATTATAAAAATTTACTGGTATTTTTAGATGAAATATTAAAAAGTTTTTACATCGGTGCATTGTAATTGGGTGATATGCATGTGACTCAAAATTTTTTTTTTCCACTCTAAAAATAAATGATTTATGAATTAATCGAAACCTTCCCAGATTTTTTGTTTCTTTCAATAATTTATTCATAATGCCTGGAGCTCCGAAGAATTGTATTCTTATGAAACTTTCCTAAATGTTTGTCAATTAAATTTAGTATACTATTTTTGTTATTCGTGAGTATATATATATAATCATATCATACCGGTAATTATTATTTTTTTTTTTTTTTATATCTATACTATAATTTGAATTATGGACAAAATATTAACGAAAATATTTAAATTTATTTGAAAAATTAGAGATATCCTTTTTATTTATTGTAAAATGGTTTAAATGACCCAATCGATTGATCTTATTATTAGACATAATTAGATAAATTAGATTTTTTTTTTTTTGTTTATTATTATTTTTTTTAAAATAAGTTTTGGAAAGTTTCATAGAAGAGAGATACAGCAATCTCTCTGGACACGAACGAACGTAAGAGTTATGGTCCACCGCTCACTTCCACTTTTAATAGTGGTGATAAGTGTGGATCATGGTTGCTAAGTGCAACATTTGGAAAGCTATCCGCTATTTCAAAATTTAAAAATCTCGATCTCATTTGCCTACATTAGCAAATGAGTGAGATTCAAAGTGGAATATGGCTTTACCTCTGTTTCGTTTTTTATCTTGCTTTTATTATAATAGGTTCAAAAACATACAAAGTTCCCCGTCGTCCATTTGAAAAGGAACGAATCGATCAAGAACTTCGACTAATCGGTGACTTTGGACTTAGAAACAAACGCGAAATTTGGCGTGTAGCATACACACTTTCAAATATTCGTCGTGCTGCTCGTGAACTGTTAACGTTAGATGATAAAGATCCTCGTCGTCTATTTGAAGGAAATGCTTTGATTAGGAGGCTTGTGAGAATTGGTGTGTTGGATGAAACCAAAATGAAACTTGATTACGTTTTGGCGTTGAAAATTGAAGATTTCTTGGAAAGGAGATTACAAACTCAAGTTTTTAAATTGGGCTTAGCCAAATCAATTCATCACGCTCGTGTCCTTATTAGGCAGCGTCATATTAGGTATGCTGGTAACCTTTGAATTTTTTCGCACTCAGTGTATTTGATCCTTATTTAAGGCTTATATATAATTATATTATTTTTTTTAATAGAGTTGGCAAACAAATCGTTGATATTCCAAGTTTCATTGTCCGGTAATTTGTATTTATTTTTATCATGATTAATTAAAGGTAAAATTTTCATTTTCCTGATTTTTATTTTATATCGTAAAATTCTAGACTTGACTCTCAGAAACATATCGATTTTGCTCTCACCTCACCATACGGTAATTTATTGTTAAATAATTACATTTTAATTATAATTTGATTATTTGCTTACATTCGTAATATTTCTTTTTTATAGGTGGTGGACGTCCTGGCCGTGTAAAGAGAAAACGTCAACGTTCTGCTACTAAGGGTAATCTTATATTAAATCACTCACTATGCTATTAACAATTTCTTATAATCATTAAACCAATTTATTTATTTAATCTTGTAGGTGATGAGGAAGAAGAAGACGAATAGATAGGTCGTTTCGCTTTGCGGATGCAATTATAAAAAAATTTATATTAATGCAACTTATATAATATATCAAGTGTTTCGCATTCCCAAAATAAAATTAATATTCTGCTAATTTTTTTTATTTGATCGTTAACATTGACATTTTATATTGACTATATTTTATTGCTTATTGCTTATTATTGCTCTTGAAGTCTCAAAATTATTTCACTCGAATAAAATGAACGAAAAACTTTAAGATTCCATTGCTTCAGGATTCTCTGCGACAATAGTGTTTTCTACACCTTCCATTTCAATGGGAACTTCATTAAACATGTATTGTTCTTGAAACTCTCTCAAATAATTAACAGATCTTTTTTCATCCAAGAATAATCTATATACACGTCTGATATCAACAACATCGACATTACTTGCCTAAAATATAGTTTAATTAATATGATGCAAAATGTGAATAAATTTTAACCTTTGTAATAAATACCTTCCGTCTTTTGGATACAAGATGAGCAGTCGTAATGAGATGTATTGCGTATCTTAATGAAGTTTCCATTCCTATCTTTGTTAATATATCGCGTGCTTCATCAGTCATTGACACATCCTCTTCTTGACATCTAAATATATAATATAATTAAATATTAGTCAATATTTAAATTATCACAAATGCATTTCATTAAGGTGAAAACTTAGATTTACCTAATGGTGAGAATTTGTTTGATCGAATTGTCGTCATATGGAATTGTACTAATAATCAATAATCGATCTAACAAATCGATTGGAATCCCATGTGGACTCTTATATTTGGTACCTCGAATTCTTGTGATCCCACGGTTAGATGCCATAATAACCACTGGCGCTCGCTCATCTTCTAGCGCACGGTTTAGATATGAAAAGCACTCAATGTCAAGCATATGAACTTCGTCAATAAAAAGTACCTATAAAAAAAGAAATACTATAGAATATTAATAGGAATTTTTTTTTGAGGGTTTTCGTTTGAAAGTAATGATTTAACAACTTGATGAATGTTATTCACTTTCATCACTTACACCAGGAATAATTTCGGCCTTTCCTTCTTCCCTCCATTCGGTAACTTTTGTGTTTATCTGGTCTCGAATTTCTGACTTAATCTCCCCAGTATCACCTAGTTAAAATGTAAGTTATGAAGTTTATATAACTTTGCGATAATGCATCAATTAAATAATATAAATTTTCTTATTACCAGAAAATAAAGCTAAAAATCCTTGTGTTCGACTATTTATCACATCGATTTCATGTAGTGACACCGTATGAACTACTTCTTTACGCTTTTGCAATTCGCCTTCAGGGCATTGAACAAATCTGGTCTATATTCAAATAAATTTGATATGAATGAATCCAAAATAAGGGGAGAAGAAATAATAAAATAATAATAATAGTAATAATACATCTGCACCCATCGCATCATAATCCCTGGCTCGAGTAAACGATCTACCCAATTTAGAGATTTTTCCGGACGCTTTATCGATAGTAATCACGTCTCTAAACGATTAAATATATAAACATACATGAACATGACTTTTTGAAAAAAATATATATATATCTCTCATTTTTATGGATATTACCCAGCCAAAACCTTTTCTTTGTTTAATACATCTATCATTTTATGTCCCAATTCAAATATTGTTTCCATATCAGTTGTCTTGAGGGTAATCTTGCCAGTTTTATTACCCTTGATTTAATGAAAAACTAAATTAATTATAATGAAATACAAGTTTTTAATAATTTATAATTCCTTACCCCCGTGATCGATCGATCTATTTGGACTTCAACAACTTCGCCTTCAATAATTTCGGCTTCTTCTTTTATTCGTACACCAATTGATCGTCGGAAAGCTTGTGTAAGAGCTTCAGTCTTCGACATTTCAAGGGAAAAAATTTCAGAAGCAGCAATCATCGTAAAAGGTATATCTTTGCCCAAAGCTTGTGCCATCCCTAGAATAAAAGAATTGTAAATCATTAATAAAACTAACTACTAAAAAAAAAAATTTGAAAACTTACCCATTGCAATAGCAGTTTTTCCAGTTCCTGGAGGGCCAGCCATAAGAATGGCACGACCCGCGATTTTACCCTCTTTAATCATTTGTAAGATTACTCCAGCTGCCTTACGGGCTTTGACTTGGCCCACCATTCCCTGTGCAACTTGCCGAGGTTCCAGTGATTCATCAAGACCAAGGCCCCGAATATGCGAATGAGCACCTATAAGAACAAATTAAACGTAATTTATATATATATATATTCCGATATTTAATATTTTAATTTTATAAACTTACCAATTCGCTCCATTTTTGTAATATCTTTAATTTCCGAAGTGGCTGTGATTACGCCTGCCTGACATGAGTCTGTACATTGAGAACAACCATTTCAGAATATTAACTTAGAGCAGAAATAATAGAGAAATCACTACCATATTGTTTTAGAAGACTTTTTCAATGATATTGACAGCGAACGAAAAGTTTCAAGATAAGAAACGCTTTTTTCTTTTGAGATCGTTGTTTACCCCATCGAAAAAAAAAATTTTCTTTTGGTCACAAAATTGACTTACGTCACCCGGAAAAGATTTGCCGGTCTAGTATTAGCCCATAATTCTTATTAATGATATTATTTTGTTTCGCTAAAATATTTTCTTTATTAATTATAATAGACCTGGGAAAGCCAGAAATAAATTACTTGGTACAATATAGAATTTACTTTTGCAATTGTAATAATTTTTTTTTAATAAAAACTTTATTTATATTACAAACATGTTATTAAACATTATGGAAACTATATTATATAACTTTATTTATACTATAAACATTTTTTAAACATTACGAAACTTTATTTAATATACATTTTTGTTTAATATAATTGTAATTTTTATACGAAGATGACCATAACAACTCATATGACAAGACCAAAAGAACATAAAGATAAAAAATAACTTACATCGATTAAAAAATAACTTCCCATCTACTGCAGCCAGAACATTGCTATGGTTAGGTAAACTCCAAAACCCTTCAGGAAGCGAGAA